TAAAATATTCAATATATAAAGTGATTAAAGATGAATAATCCAGATTTGAATTTTGGATGCCCAAAGATTTTTTTTTGTTCTGGTTCTCTTCAAACTAATTTGAACAATTTTCTTTAAAAAAATAATCTAATTATTTTTATATGAATATAGAGTTTACATAAGTTAAAACATTCTTTAACTCCTTTTTATCTTTTAACATGCTCCTCCTATTAATGGATTGTACATCTAATGGACATGGTGGACTGGCCATTGTGATTGGAGGGTGGCGATGAAAAAAAAAATATGGCAGCACTGATTATGTGTAGAAATTATGTAAAATGATAAATCAACATGATCATTAGGTCATTTTTTTTTTCAAACAGTGTATATCTGATAATAAATATATCTGAAAACATCTAAAGAAATGAATTAAATATGTTTCATATTAGTATACACCAGACATGAGGGAGTTAGACAACTTCTATAATATATGCGCTTTTCCAGAACTTTTTCAGTTAAACTGAATAATGTTAAAAACTGAAAAATATTTTTGATTTCTTAAATTTTACAAATAAAATAAAAACAAGTTTTCACAGTCTGATTGATTATGTAAAAATGTCTCTAAAAGATATTCTGTATTAAACTATACTGGGTATGCTAGTTCACTTAGGGTATGACAAACATATTTTATTTCATGTGAATTATTTGTTATTAATTGAATTTTTTTTTTTACTTCAAATTATTGATGAGACAAAATTATATTTACGCTCTTCTTGTTCTATTGGGATAATTTTGGTTGCAACAACTGTAAAATAAGAATGAAACTGGTGAATTTAGAGGAAAATTTAGAAAAGTTGATGGGGGAAATACATGACTGACATTAGTAAAGAAAACTATGAAGGAAATTTCTAAACTCAGCACTAATCCATTGAAGGATGTCTAATGCTCATCAATGATCTCAGCGCTGACTTTAGGAACTTGACCACTGTTACATCGATGAGTTTAGGAATGCTCTGATGGATTTCCGATGCTCATCAGTGATCTTGGTACTGAGTTTAAGAACTTTGTTCTATGACTTAAAACAAACACCTCACTTATCCTTTCCATGTCTCTCCATGTTTTTTTTCTTACACATGCATTTTTTATAACTGGTTTGATGGTATAATAATGCTGTAATCTTAAAGTACTATTCTAAACATCTCCCAAATTTGCTACTCATGAGTAAATGAAAATGGAGTTATAAATTTTGATATGCCAGTAGAATATTTACTTATAAATAACTAGAAACAGTACAATGACCAGTTCATTAATTTTTTTTCAGTAATAGCAATATTGTTTATCTTAAATATTTCTACTATATTTCAGTTCATTATTTTCTAAAATTGATTTAAGAGGTGGTTGGAACAAAAAGTGAAGACAATATTTTTTCTTAGTTTTCATTTTTCACAAGGATGTGGACAACTCAAAACAAAAGGATTGAATAGATTTTTCTATTTTATATAGGGTAGATGTGCCCAACCTTTTTATAATGTGTGTGGCAACCAAGGGTAGTAGATTGTTTCTTTTAAATATACTACACAATATTTGTCTAACACGCAGAATATAGTGCTGTATAAAGTTAAACCACCTTAATGCTTATTTAGATGTATGTTTTTTCTTTATTTATTATTGACATGAAACCATTACTTGTTAATCGATAGAATGGAACTTTCAATACTAATAAAATGATCTCAGAGAATTTTATTTCCCAGAATAATGTTTTTTTTATTCTATTCCACTATTAGTATAGAGATTCCAATTATGATTTTGTCAGTAAAAGTATATTTTATTTCTGCTCACATTTTATGTAAAATCGTTATTTTTTTGTTAACTTCATAGTACCTGTATCACTTGTTAGTAAATAATATTTTAAAAACCTCAGTATGATAAGCTGCAGTTGTTGTGCCTTTTTTAACTTCTATAATTCTGTTTTTTTAATAAATCAAGGAAAGCAGGTTTTATTCTGTCTGCTTCCCATAAACCTATATCAACAAGGAAATATAATATGAAAAAAATACAATGTGCAATCAATATTTATTATATATACAAAAAATGTTATGCTTGCTTTTATACAAACATACTATCACGACATGGCAACAGACTGAAAACAGTGTAAATATTACAAAAAATAATTATATATATTTGTACAGATATATTTATATTTATACAAAAAATTAATGAAATCACATATTTTCAGGGTTTTTTTTTTGTTCACTTTTCTTTTACATCAATAAAACAAAGTAATTGTAGGATATTTATAAATTACGCAATGAAATAATAAAATATATTTCCTTATAAATTTCTAACAGGTCATTCGAAAGTATGGTAATACAGTTTGTACTAATAATGGACTGATGCTATATAATTAGAGAATAAATGTAAAGATCTTTTTTAAATTTAAAATAAAAATTTATAACGAAAATCGACAACTTATATATACTAAATCAGTCTAGGAGAAACATTTTCATTCGCAACAGATCATAATAAATATACTAAGGAAGCATGTTAACATTTGTTGACTTAAACATTAATTTAATATAAAACCAAACATTTTTAAATCCTTAAATCAAGTAGGTTTTTAAAGAGTAATATTAAAACATAATGGAAATGTAAATAATGCAATTAACAGTTTGAAAATTTGATTAGAAAATCTATAATTTTTTTGTAAAAAACACACAAGTAGGCTCTGGCAGTGCTAGAAGTATGAGGTAAAAAGAATAATTTTCTTATTTTTTGGTAACCCAAAGTTTCTCCATAAGATCAAATTAAATTATGTCAGAGGACAATCGTATAACCAGACACTTGGTGGAATAGTTTTGGTCTATCATAAAGTAGCCATTCTGAAGGAGTAATGAATAATATTATAACAATAAATTTAATTATTTTCCAAGCAATAATACATAAAAAATGAACTTCCAACAACGGAATAGTTACAATGCACAATGAAGTCTGGTTCAGTATAAATATTATGTCAGGAAAATGAGAAACTGATTTAAACGATAGAGAACATACTACAGTAATTATTACATTTTTAAAAATGGTTAAATTTTGATAGTATCAAAGTTTGGAAACAGACTCTTAATATATCTAAAAAAAAAAAAAAAAAAGACTGATATCAGATAAGCAGATCATGAAATTTCTATTCCAGAATGGCTTTTAACATTTTATTTTTATGTTATGGATTGACATCAATACTATTCAATGATAATATTCTGATTTTAACTATTTTTATTGTAAACTTAAGAAAAATATTATCAATTCATTAAAAAGAAATCCAAAACTATGAATAGAAATTTTTAAACAGTATAATAAAAAAAATGTATTATGTAATGTACACATTTATTGCAAGTGAGTAAAAAGCGTTTAATAAATTAATGTTGAACAATTAAAAGGCAAGCTAATCTAGTTCTACTAGTGTAGGGAAAAGAATATGGCTGCTCTATATTTTCTTTTCCCTGTACTAGTAAAACTAGATTAGCTTGTCTTTTAATTGTTCAACGTTAATTTATAAAACGCTTTTTACTCTCTTCCAATAAAGGTGTACATTACAATATTAAGTGGAAAGGAAATGCTGAAACTAATCACATGATGCATTAAAAAACAGAATTCTTATTCTGTATCAATAAGATGAATCATTTTTATAAGTTTAAAAACAATAATTATAAATCATCTATTGAGAGAGAACTTCAACTTTGTACATCGCTTAAAACCCTATTACCCAACTAAATATATTCTAGTATCGATATTAACCAAATTATTTTTTTTATATTACTCTCTAAATTCTATTTTAGAGCTTTTAATATGGCTTTAATTTGAGCTATAAAGTTGATTTATAAATTAGTAAATTTGATTTACAAACCCGAAATCGGGTATACTTCAATACTTTATTTACAGTATTTTATCCAGATAATATCTACAAGGATAAAATGAGACTTCAATTGAAAGCCCTTAGATAATAAGAGCATAATAGATTACTTTATATTATACATTAGACAATTTGTGAAAATCAATAATATCTTCCTTAAAATTTATAGACACGCAGTAACAATCCATTCTCATTCTCTCCAATACTGTACAATTATACTTTAAAAATTAAATAAAAATAATACATAAATTTATACAAAAAAAATCTAATTACACATCCTTAAAAAACAGATAATTAAAGAAACTATAAGGTATTTTCATTTTAATAATTTTATAACAGCAAATCATTCATTATATACCCAAAAATGTTTTTTTCATATAATTACTACAATGCGCTAAAATTATCATGATTTAAAAAGTAACCATAATTCATAAATTTGAAGATATGTACAGGAAAGAAATTGCACCAGTTAACTGTGTCACTTTATCACAAATTTTAAAGTTGCAAAAGTTTTACAGAAAAAAAAAATTCATTTTAGGATGCCTACGACAACGAAAAAGGCCTGAAAAATAAATTACTAATAAATAGATAAAATATTCATTCAGTAAGTCTTTGATAGACAATTCAAGGCATAGCTATTGTACGCAGCCTCTAATAATCCGCAATGACAATAAAAAAAATTGGCAAAAAGTAGCTAAAACTATCGCAACTACCATGGCCTAACAAAAAATTATGATTGAAGTTAAAGGTCTAAATAGTTTAGGAAAAAATAATACATGATCACTTTTTGTAGCTGCAAAACTGCAATACATTTCAAACTGTAGCAAAAAACTCCTAACATTTTAAGGAGTTTTCAGTCCAAATTTTACTGGAATATATTCAGTAAATGTTTATATTGAATTTATTCCTGTTTCCTTTCAACTTCTTCTATGCAGCCAGATGCTGAATGACGAAAATTCAACATCCTCAAGAGCATGTAAGATTATAATTTAAATAAATATATCTATCACTTAACAAGTCTTAGCTTCACTAGACGTGGAAGGATTTCTGGACCCAAATCTTAGCTCCAGGCATGACTGAGGTCAATGAAAGCAGCAAAGCCTGCAGATCCATATGACTAGTTGAAATGGAATTTAAAAGTAAATGGAGTTTCGGAAGAGAAATGATGAAATTGTTGGAACGGGTTGAATGGGCCGTGATGATTCCCAGACTCTGGATCTAATGGATCTTCTCCTAGATCGAACTTTTTCCTTTTATCTAAAACACAAAGCATTGAAAATACATAAGTAAATAAAAATTGAAAAATAAAATTTTTCATATAACTAAAATTCTTTTTAAAAACAGAATGATCAAAAATCACACGCATGCACGTAAATGCACATACACAAGCATTCATACACACACACATATCTGGCAGAATTTTGGTAAAAGGTTTGATGGTAACTAGAGTGATTTTCAAAATTCATTTCTTGATACCGTTAAAAATAAATATAAACTGACCGATATGGGAATCAAACCTATATCATTCCAAAAAAGCCTCTTTGATAAGGTCAAGAAATGGCAAAATATTGCATGTTTATTCTTTGTATAACTATACTATGTTTATATCTAAACAATATTTCATTGAGGAATTATGTAACTAATGTCTCACTGGTTCACTATACTTATTCAAAGTTCAAAACCATGTTATCTCCATCAGTTTTATGTTATTTATTTTGTTCGGAACTCTCAGCAGAGTTATGCCTTGTCCGAAATGGGGCACCAGGCCTAGCACTGAACCATGTGAAAAAATTAACACATTGTTTCCTGTGATACTAGCTCATTAAGCATAATGCTGACTCTCAACCCTAACCCTCGCCTTGTACCATGGATTTGCTTCATCAATTCTTTAATCAGCCCAACCCTCGCGTATTTAGGTATCGGAACGGCCTGATTAATAGAAATCTATAGATTTATTACATATACTTCAGAAATATTAAAATATGTTAGGTTTTTCTAATAAAATATCTTATAATATTTTCTTGAATAATTAATTTTAGGCTATTTTTTTTTTAAATTCTATTAAATTTAATTGTTTACATCACAGTTGTTGATTTCATGTAATTGCCAATTTTAATAAATACAATTTAAAGAAATTATAATTCATTTACAAATTTACTTTAATTTAAAAAAAAAAAATATTTGAAGCAATTATAACAGTAAAGAGATAAGTGGGTATTTCCTGATTAAAATATTTCTTATTTTATAGGATTTTGATTTTGTTGCTTTCCAAATCTGTGAAAACAAATTAAAATGACACTGGTAAATTATACCAGTAATATCTTGAAAAATAGCCTACAAAGTTACCACTAGCGGATCCAGGATTTAATTTGGGAGGGGGGAGGGGGGCTTCAGCCCGAAAGCTTTATATATATATATAAAACGATAATTAATTTGAAAAAAAATAAAGAAACTAACTACCTATATGAAATAGTATTTAAATGGTTCTTGAAGTCCTATTAAATGTAATTACACGAACAAGAATACTTTAAGATATAGTTTTTAATATTTTTTCCGTAAAACATGGTGATATTTTACCATTTCTGGAGAGGGTGGAGGGAGGCTTCAACCAGAATGCCACCCCTCCCTATAGATCCTTCTGTGGCAGTTACTAATAAAATTTCTTAGTAACCCAATGATCTAAAACCATAGAGGGAGAATACAAGTCTAGTAGTTTTATTTTTCAACTTCATAAGTAAACATGGATAAGGATAAATAACATACCACAACTTCTGTACAAATGTCACTCCACTTTCATTGGTGGCATAAAATCTTATGATCACACCATAAACGGAATCCCAAGAATAGCTGAATGTGTTTGAAAGTAGATGGAAGAGCCTGAACACTCTGATAAGGTATCGACCAACACTGAAAAGAATCCATTGGGGGTTTGTTTTTCCCTTTAGAGCGAGCAGGAGTCGAAATCAGTGATGTAACTAAAGCTAATTAATGCCCTGATTTCAATTGAAAAAGAGCAATAGGAAATTTGTCGAAGTCGTAAATCGAGATCTAAATAAAGGGAGGTTATACTGTGAACAAGTTGTCAATCCTGAACTATTCTCGGAATCCCATGAACAAGAGATCTGGGTCCACTGGATAAGGTGGACTGACATTTGTCCAAGTTATCTTATTAAGTTAAGGGAACTTAAATTGGGTAATGAGATATCATGCTTGAAGTCATTAAAGGGTTTAAATATGACTTATTTACCAGGATCTGTCAAAACTTCTTTGGCTGCAGCAATATCAATAAATTTCTTTTCAGCTTTCTTCTTTTCAGGACCTTCTGGGAAATTATCGGGATGCCACTGTTGTGCAGCTTTTCTGTAATAAATGAAAACATATTTGGTGTAGGAAATAATTTTAATTTCAATAATTTGAAAAAAAAAAAATAGAAACAGAGATCAGGGCTGCTGTGTAACAGTTAGACCAAGCAACAGAAAAAATATTGTTGAAATTATTTTAGTTTTATGTTAATCACAGCTGTTGACATTTGCTTGTTCAAATTTTAGTCTAATAATTCAGGCAATAACATGAGCTATAGAATACAAGTAGGTCAAACTGCTGTGAATGAAGAAAATAGGTGATGATGGATTAAATTTGAGGATATTAAAGGAGAATTAATGATTGAGAGTTGGTGAGGGAGCTTGGGAGGAATAATCTATACCAATTCTTTTACTTTACTTATTAACGCTGGGAGGTTACAGTCTCTTAATTAACAACTTATAACTATTACAGAAATAAAAATTGGTTTGAGTCCCTATTTTCACAATATTTCATTTTAAATACAAATATTTTTGTAAAAAAGAAAAATATCTAACTGAATATTACCTGTAAGCTTTGACTATTTCTTTTTTCGTCGCTTTCCTACCGACTCCTAATATTTTGTAATAATCTCTTTTTTCTGATTGCTTCTGTAGATTTTGTGCTTTTTGAATACCTTCCTTAGCCCTTTGAAAATCTTCATGTATTTCTAACGCTTCTGAATAGTCTCTGATGGCTGCAAACAAAAATATAATTTAATCAGTTTCATTAAAAAAAAAAACTAACAATATTAAAATTTGTATAATAGTATAAATTATTTTACCATCATCAAACATATCGAAATTGATATGAGCCTCAGCTCTGTCGCACAGAACATCAGCATCTTTATTAATTTCGAGAGCGCTATTACATGAACTAATACTCTCAGCAGTCTTCCCTTGTTCCATGTAACATTTACACAGTTTGGCATGTCCCAGCCATTGGATCATAGGAACTTTTGTTTCTGTTTTTAAAATCTAAAATTAAAGTTAAAACTAAAATTAGCACTGCAATAATTTAATGTTACACAAATAGCATAGCAGTAAATTAAATATAAACAGGCTTTAATGAATTTGAAGTAATACAAACCTTCTGTGCGGAGTCGACACAAGTGTCATAATCTTGTGAGTTAATGGCATCTTGGATGTCATTCCAAAATTTATCAATTTTTTTCACTTTTTTATAATGTGGAAAACAGTCTTTATGCTCAGGATCAAGTTTTAGACAGTCCCGTACTTCTCTAAAAATAATCATTAAAGTTATTGAAGAAATTTGTCAGTTGTACTTAAGGCTCAACGTATACACAGAAAGCGATATGTTCTGGCAATATGATATCTCTTTGTCAGTATAGCTGCAGATTATCGTTCTCTATGTGACTGTTATAATACAATAAATAGCAATACAACTATATAGCCATATCGCCTCTGACAGGACTATCGTATAGCCAAGACATATCGTATTCTGTATATAGAAGCCGAAAGAAGTCAACATAAGGAAACAATCAAAATTTGTAAAAGTTTTTATATTATTTATCAACCAGATAAATATGAAGAGATTGATGTATATATTGACCTATTAATGTGCAAATATTGTATTCTAATCTGTATCAGGAATACAAGTGAGTTGAGAATAGAAGGAACTTTACTAAAGTTACTCAGGATTTTTACCACTGCTGGATATTTCAAGATAATACAAATATTCTTATTTTTAAATAACTGAATTTTATAAATTGTTTACAGTCGTTTTATTTGCTCAACTTATATTTGTACCATCATTAAAAAGGTTCTAACACTGTCTGTGGGCACAAATATTAAAAATGCATAATTTATAACAAAATTTATTTGGAAGATAATTGACAATAAAATGAGTAAAAAAAAAAAAAAATCAGTCTTTTAAATAACAAATATAATATTTTAGAGGAAGCGTTTTTTTAGCTTGATTAGTATTTTTATTTTAGAAAACTAAACTTTTAGTAATTTATTTTTATCGCCTTTATTATATTTCCATACACTCAGAGGAGGTGAAAGTTGATACTTGACACTTAAGCTCTGATTTTCCATAAATATAGTTTCTGATAAGTAATTTAGTTTCTTTATTACTATTAACAGTGCAAATAATTATCCGTGTGAAACTAACTGACATTTCTGGTTAATAAATGCTCTATTACGAGCACCACGGGACGAACGAATGAGTGCTTGCCAGCCAATGAATTGCACTGACCATAGCCACATGAATTAATTAAAAATATAATGAAAAAAAAAATTTTAATAATATATAGGTATCTATTGTTTGCCAATATTAACTGCCATTCCCCACTCTTTGCGTTAATTTCATAGTACTGTAATAAGAATATGGAAGAGCAAGAAGTTTTTCCTTTGAAGAAAAATTCCATATATGCTGCCAACTGGAGAGGGGAGTCCAATAGTAGCCTGGCTCAAGAATTAAACTTAAGTCTTTCAACAATTTGAAACAATTCCAAGTAAATTTGAAATCGAGGGCAGATTTTACACGAAAAGACTAACGAATACATAAAATCAATTCGCGATCCATTTGATGAACCTTAAACTAATATTTTGTGAAGATGGATACAAAGCTACCGACATAATACTGTTTATAAAAAAATTAGCTGTAAAGCTGCCAGTATTCTCTTTCAGTTAACCAACAAATGGAATTAAGTTTAGCCAACAGTTGATGAAAATTATCATGACGCTGACATATTCAATGCAATTTTTTAAGAAGTTGGTGTCTGACCAGACTCTACATTCTAATATCGAAAAATATTCTAATGGATGTTTATTTATTGACAGAATTACTGTTAAGAAGTTCATTACTTCCATGTAATTTATGTCCATAGATGTATATATTACAAACAGTGAATAGTATTGGTATGATTTTTTTTAAAAAAAAGTACTGTTTTAATTTTGCTTAAATTTTATTAATTACCCTTGTTTGATTTCAATATAATGACCATTAGTATTGTACTATTTGACTGAATAATTGACAGTCAAAGCTGGATGTATATATTAACCGTGATCATTTATAACGACGAAGTTTATCCCTCCAAGGTATAAACAATATCCACAGTATATTTATTTCCAATTAGAAAAAAATATTTATGTACTAAAAAAATTCCCTGACTTTTTTCAATTTTTCTCTGAATTCTTCGATTTTTCTAGATTTTCTGGGTCAGCCACCACTCTTATTATCTTGATTCGTTTTGAATATTCAAAGGGTAATAGAGAATTATTTTGTGGAGAATACAATTTTAAAAATCATAAATAAAATTGTTTGATTTATTTAAATACATCTCGATTTTTTATGGATTCTTAAGCCAAAAATGTAATGTTTTAATTAACATTTGTGATTTATATTTCTGAATAAGATAGAACCCAACAAGATTGACCAGAAAAGATCAAATTAATGTCTAACAATAAATGTCAGTAAGTGTAAGTCTGTCAGATTCCCTGACTTTCCTCTATCTTAAATAAAATTTCAGATCACCTATTCCACAATTAGGAAATAACCCCCCAAAAAGTAAGATAAAATAGCTAACTACAACAATCTTATCAAAACATTGAAAAATATTTTATAAATAATAAATTCTAAGAAAGTATTAATGAATTGGCTCATACTTAATTTTCATAATATTCTGTGAAAAAAAATAACCACCAAAACTACATTATTCATGTTCACATTCCTAAAATATATTTGAAGTTACAATGGAAATTAAAAAAATAATTTCATTAGAATCTTTATTTTATTCTATTTCACTGTTAGGCATTTGGCAAAGGCAAAAGACATTTACCATATCGCGAGGGTGGATTGTAAATAAAAAGAAGTAAAATTTGGAGAACTAATTTTCAAAATTCTTTTTTTTTTGTTTGTTTAATAACTTTTCATTTTCTTATTATAATTTGTTTTTTAGCATTAAATCATCGAACAATACTTATTGTTTATAAGTTATCCTCTCTATAGACACTCTAAATAAAATTGTTCTTACTGGCATTTGCAGTGTTGCTTTCATTAATAAGAATTTTAAATGTCAAAAATAATCAATTAATATTAATTTTATATAACTTACAAGTTACGATCATCATCAGTGAAATTCTAGAAACCAAGATTAAAATCTAACAAAAAATATGTACCTTAAACTCTCGTAAGGTTGTCCAAGCTGGTAATGGAGCATTGATAGTTTAAAATATCCATCAGTATTGTCAGACTGAAGTTTAGTAGTAGATCGGAGATCAAGTATAGCAGACATAGGATCATTAAGTGCTACATAGCAATTCGACCTCAATTCTCTCAAGTATGACGACCATGGACAGGCCTAAAGGACAAAAGCAAAAAAATAAACTTAATTCATGAAGTATGCAATTGAAAATGGTTAAACACCTATCAAATAATCACTATAAATAAAAACATTTTCTTCAAGTCTTTCACAAAAACTGAAATAAGAACTAATGAAATATTTCAAAAATTGTAAAACCAGTGTATTAATTCAAATTGTGGATGCTATAGAAAACAAATAAATAGAATTTTACTTTATGATATAAAAAGTTTATGATATAAAAAGTCTCTCAATATATTGATAAAAACTTATATAAAATAATAAGAGGAATGATGTTTTATAAGTTACAGCAAAGAAAAACTACAAGTATTTACAAATATTGATAACAACATGTTCTAGTAGAAGAGAAAAAAAAACTATCAAAACATTCCATGATGGGTCTTGGGTTCAGTACTATTTCTTAGTCAACGGTTGTGAAAAGAAGTCCTGTATTCTCTCTCAACCGTATTCTACTAGTAGATATTTCGTTTATTAAACTGTTTTTTTATGATGAATAAAACAACACTTACTTCAATGATCGATGAGAGGAGGTCTACAGCGGTACTATACTGATTCTCCTTTACAAGGCTTTCTGCTAAGTGTATGTCGCTCATTAAAGTTTCAGCACGTATAAGGTTGTGGTATGCATCACCATTGTGCTCAATTTGATGCTAAAATAAGCATATTCATTTTAGTAACCTTATTCCATATGAAGTTACACAAATTCAACTAATGCAAAAAATAAAAAATGACTTACAAGGTAAGTAAAGTCCTTTATAGCTTCAGCTAAATTCCCTTGCTTCATTAAAACATGGGCTCTTTGATTTCTCGCCTGGAAAACCATAACAGATAAGTCCAACAGCCTTTAAATAATTATATAATGGGAGATTCTCTAAAATTTTCCCATAATTTCTCAACAATCTCAACTGAACAATAGTCCTGAATCATAACATGATAAGGCAATACTAACAAATTAGGCAACTGAATAAATAAACAAATTATTCTACAACTGGAATGAAATTTCACTTACCCCAGAAAAATCTGGCTTCAATTCTAAGACTTTATTTAAATCAAGAATTGCAAATTTGGCTTTTCCTAATGCCAAATATACAGTCCCTCTCTTGAAATAAGTCAAATAGTTGTTTTTATCACCCTCTAAAAATAAATATCAGTGAATAAGTACAGATTAAGAGCTAATATAGGAAATAAATAATAAAAATAATTACTGACCAACTGCAGCATTGTAGTGATAAAGCGCATCTTGCAGCTGGCCTCTGGCTAGAAAATCACCCCCCATTGCAAGATGTTTATCAACTTCATTTTGATTAGTTCCACGGTTAACTGCAATAAACATATGAAATTAAATAATTATCCAAAAATATTGTGTAGAGATTACTTTCAATTTTTCTAGTAAGAAATTATTACTGGGATCATGGATAAGAATTTTTTTTTTGTTTAATGAGTTCATTAATATCAGTATTATAGGAGTACGGGTATGAAGTATTGTAATTATTACGAAAGTTTTAATATCAACATAGAATTACCTCCATGAACAACGTCTATAGTAATAAATAAAAACCATGTAGAACATATTTTGTAAGGAGATGACAGCCAGTATTCCATGGCTAGAAGTTTCTAATTAACACAGAGACATTCGCATTGAACCAGAAGGAAACAATTGTGACAAGAGACGAGTTTATCCCTCTACATAACATTATCTACACTCCGAATTTACTGAACCTTTCGTGGTTTCATCTGATTGGTCGGAACTTCCTAGTGCCTGCGGAATACGGCTAAGGTCATCAGCTGTATCAATGGAGGTTACCATAAGGTTACAACATGGCAAATGCAGTTAAATTTGTTCCTAAACTAAAAGAATTGAGAATTCATTTATGTTCTCGATCAGAAAGTAGCAAGGGAGTAAGGTGAGTGTAATTGACATTATTATTGTAATGTAGAAAACAAATATATTTTAAATCACTGATTGAATAGTGAATATTTCTTTTATTGAATTTTTTTTCCACAGGGATTTTATTCAAAAGTCCTATGTTGGTCTAAAGAAAGCCAACCCTAAATTTCCAATACTTGTTCGTGAATGTTCTGGAGTTCAGCCTAAACTTTGGGCTAGATATGGTATTTACTTTATTTAATTTTCGCCTATCATTTTAAGTAAATCTATCAGTAATAGACACTTTAAGAGAAATTTTCAACATTAGTGTGAATTTCAGCTTTCGTTCTGATGGTGGAACTTTGCCAATGGGTTTTATTTTCAGCAAATTTAGTCTTTGTTACAGTTTTTTTTTTCTATTCAGTCAATTAGTTAATTATTCATTAAAAACTTAGGATATCCTGATAGTGTATATTTCTTCAATAATCAGTTTTTGTTATTTACTTAAAAAACAAAAGAATAAAATATAAGTATAAAAAATGACAAATTGCAGATAAATGAATCAAAATTACTCCAAACTGTTCTGTTAAATAAAAATAATAAGTAAAATCTCCCAGGATCACACATCCAGCAGTGCTCCATTAAAATATCAACTGCGAGCAGCAATCATAGCCTGATATCACTTGAAGTTCAGGCTTCTCATATCACTTTCCTTAAGTGTTGTAGCTGAAAATCTACTCATATTGGCATTATCTGACTAAATTTGAGATTTTATAAAACTTATTATTTGTTAATGAGTTGATAGATGTTTATTACTAGTACATTTACCATAGTCCATTTCCTACAAATTATCAACATTTTCCATAAATACTTATATATTATGTTGCTTTTATGATTGTGTCATATTTTTTTATAGAATTCGGGAAGGAAGTTAGTCGAGATGTCTCAAATAAATCAGCAGACCAGGTTCTGAGTGAATTAACAGATCTCAATAAATGAAAATATATTATGTATGTGTTAGTTATGTTTTGTTAATAAATAGTAATTAAATTAAATTAAGCTAAGACAGAGTTTAAAAATTATATTTCAATCCTAATTTATTTATAGACAGTTTGTTACTGATAAATTAGGTGTTAAATATAATTTTTTTTTTGGTTACTGTTGATTAAAGTTGTAGGTTTTTTTCTGATTAAGTGGAATAATAATAAAATATTTATCAAACCTCAACCATCCTTATCAACTATTTTAGTTATTCTCCCGTAATATTGATGTCAGCAATAGTGAAGGTGTATTTGGTGTCAACTTCTCTTTCATATTCAACTGCTCCTACACACTCAGGAACTCTAGCGTCAAACCATTTCTTAAATTTTGTTTTCATTGTGTGATATTTTTCTTTAATTGAGACAGAAATTAATATTTCTCAATAAACAAGGTTAGTACTCGCTTTGGCGGTTCATATACTAAAATTGGAACGATACAGAGAAGATTAGCATGGCCCCCGCGCAAGGATGACACGCAAAATCGTGAAGTGTTCCACATTTTCTAAGGGGGCGGGGTGGCCGAATAGGCTAAAGCGTGTGCACAGCACTGCTAGTTGCCTGGCAACCGGATAACAGAGATTTGAGATGATATAAAAAGTACGAGTTCGCGTCCCATGCCGGAGGGGATTTTAAATTCCCCGCCCTCACCCCCCGTCCCGGGAAAATCCCGTATAGCCTAAAAGACGAGGTAGGGAAGAACAAAAAAAATAAAATAAAAAAAAATAAAAATAAACAAGGTTAAACAAATTGTTTGTCTTATAGTCACAACTTGGCAATTGTATTATAGATCTAATAACAATTGGTGTTTTAATATTTCTTATAGAAGAAATAAACTTTCATATACTTGGTAATGGTGTTTAGAAGCGAATGGCTCCCTGAAATTTTTTTAATTTATTGCCAAACCAAAAACATACTATATATTGCACAGAATCATTGTGCATTGTATTAATTTATGTTAATAAAGTAATGTTTTAAATGTTGATCTATCTATCTCTGTGGTACTCCAACCCTGAGTGGGTCTTGGCTTTGTTATGATTTCTAGGAGAGTTCTTGTGCCTGCTGCCGTTTCATCAGCCTGCCTTAACTATTGTCTTTCAGCTCTTTGGGTCCTATGATGAACCTCTTCAGATTTCTTCTTCACTAATCCTTGCCACGTGGCCTGCACAACTGAGTCCTTCCAATTTGACCAACGTCAGCTCCCATGTAGATTTGGTACAGTTTTGGTTCTTCCTAATCCTCCTATAAAATGTTTATTAGTTATTTGTAATTATTTTTTAATCAAATTACAGTGAATATTGTGTGATGTGAGGATTTTTAAGATGCAACATGCATGAACATTTTCAAAAGAAATACAAGTTTTGAGCTCTCCTGACTCTTGCTTAGAAACTGAAATTATATATATTAAAGTTATGTATATGCCTGGGATGTCACAGCAACATTTTTATCAAAATGCTATAATCGCCACTTTGTAGCATCGATTTTAGACATTTTCACTTTTTTCACGAAAACGGTCCTAATAATTTTGATTAAACTCATTCTGGTATTGTACAGTTATTTGCTTATTAATAAAGAATAGGTCTTATCCTCATTGATATAATCTCACAGGACGTAAATGCTGAATTTCCAAAATGGCTTTCTCTAAAATATCTTTAATATGATTTATTTGAAATTATAAAGTTTCTTCTGGTTAGTAATTAGAAATTATTAAGTAGAAACAAGGAACAAATTTTTAATATTAATAGAATTAAAACAGGAAAAACATATTCCCAGATAAAAAACTAATTTCTGGAATTGGAATTAGAAATATATATATTAATGTATAATATATTGCTGAAAAGCTTAAGATTTTAGAAAAGATAATATTTAAAATATGAAGTGGAAAGCAACAAAAAAATTTATGAACAATAATTTTATTTAATATTGTCATTGGAAACCAAATTTTTCCATTTTCCTTCTAGGCAGAGCAAAAGGTAGAGATTTCAATTATATAAAAAAAAAAACAATGTTATAATTAAGTATTAAGGTGCTTATTTTAAACAGTTTTTGTTTTTGTTTAGTATATTATAGAAACATCTAAATTACTTGATTGACACATTTTATTGAAACATAAGACACAATTTTACATTTTTATTATTTCTTCTTAGCTGGCAAATGGAATTCAGTCGGATCAAAGTCATCCATATGGTGTAATACAACATTAGCAGCTGCTTGCATGTCCTTTGGCATATGCTCATCCGTGCACAAAATTACTTGCATACCTGCAGCTTTCGCTGCTAATGCACCCTGGTAACTGCTATCTATGACCAAATACTTAAAAAATAACAAAAGCAAATTAGAATAAAGTAAGAATGGTCTTGATTAAGATAGTTTGATTTTATTATAAAATTGTTTACTTATTGCTTATAACCATTGGTGACATTCAAGAAATGGTCATTTAGAACAAATAAAATGTTATAATTAAAATTAACTTCCTTAAAAAAAAAATATGAAGAATATGCAGAAGGAAATTTTCTCGCCAAAGAGAATTAGTGAGTTAAGTTTTGAATAAAAGTCACTACAAAAAAATTGAAAAACATTATTTTCAATAAAAATTAAACTTAAAAAATTAAACGATCACTAGGAGGGGTTTACTGAGAAATATTAAGATGGCTCACAGCCTATGAGGAAAGAGTAAATATAAGATCATTATTATCCTTTGATTCTAATTATTCACATCAAACGATTAACTTATGTTCCAGAATAGTTGAATAAAAGTATGTTAATGTTGGACATTTAATAACTTAAATCAATTGTATTACAGAATTATTAGATTTTTTTTTTAAGAATCATGGATATGACATGGACTATCACTTGTCAATTTTTGATGTTTTTCTTTTGTCAAAACATTATTCATGTCAATGATTTTACCTTATTTAAACTCCGAGGCCCATCATGAAACAACCTTGCTGCTTTGATGAGAATTTCAGGTTTAGGTTTACCCTCTACAACTTCATCCGCATGTACAATGTGGCAAAAGTTTTTTTCGAAACCATGCAACTTGGAGTGAAGTATTTTGAAAGCTTTTGTGTGTACACTTGAGATTAGTGCTACAGGCATCTTATGCTGCAGGAAATAACAAACAACATCATCGATTCCTGTGAAAAATGAGTTTTGCAATGGTTACTGTATTCAGTCAATGGTAAAATAATCTTATGTCTTACTAAATTCAGTGGGTGAGAGTCTTTTTGTATTAGTTATTGCTGTAGGAATATTACAGTGTTTCAGTCCTATAAGTACAAAGTATAAAACATAATGTAATGAAGTGTGAACAATAAAACAATTGTAATAATAACATTAAATTATTGTGTTATAAAGCAGGCTACACGTCCTAAGAGATGCTCAAGTCAATATACTTAGTCAGAAATGTTATTGTTCTCTTCTTAAAAACGCTGAGAGTTAAACAAAAAATTAGAAAAATTTAGTTCTTATACAATTACGCTTGCCTCCTAAATATTAAAAATATTTCAAAAGAAGCTAAAAAAAAGTAAATAAATTGAATAAAAAAAAATAATTACATATAATTTTACCTCTCACTATTTTTGACTGGTGGTACAAAGTTCTTTGAATTTGCCATACCCCATGTGCATACACATTACCATCAAATGGCATATCATATTCATACGTTATGATATTCCCTGCATCCACATTACGCAGACCCAATATTTTATACTTAGTCACAGTTTTTAAATGTTTCTTCCATTTCATCAGATACTCTTCATGTGCAATTGCGTTGTAACGAGCGGAGTCTGTAAAATCGACATGAAAAAATATTATTTAAAAAACATATACATATTTTCTTCTCAAATTGTGTATGATAATGTTAAACGAGTGAATTCATTTAATATATTAAAACTTTAAATGTTGCACTGTAGCAAATGCAGGATTTATTTTTATTTTTGTCTTGAATAAGGATAATTATTTTGAACAAAAAATAAAGAAACTGATGTTTAAATGGTCCTTGAAGGACTGTACAGAAAATAATAATCACAGGTGTAATAACGTTTTTAGAGATACATTTTTTTCTTGACATATGCTTGTATTTATAATAGTAATATTCGGTGCTACTGCCCTTGAAGGGCTTGGGCTCTTCACAGATTGCATGCTAGCCTGGTCTATTATAGCAACCGCTCTCCATCCTCTAATTCCAAGTTGGCGCAGGTCTGCCTCTACATCGTGGAGCCATCTCATTCTGGGGCGTCAACACTCTCGGCCACCACCCGTCTTTTCATAAAGTAGCTTCCTTGGAAGACGATCTTCCTTCATACGCTCCACATGCCTGAGCCACCTCAGCCTTCCCTTTTTTTTATTATACTTACTATACCTGGCTGATCATACAATGCTCTTAAAATCTTCGTTTTTTCTAATTTTCTACTCTCCATCAGAGTAGACTGGTCCATATATTTTTGTTAGTATCTTTCTTTCTCTGGTCGTTTCCCCATCTCCTTTGTCAGGACCCATGTGTCACTGCCATAGGTGACTGTTGGGCGAATTGTCTTATAAACGATGACCTTAGCGCTCTAAGAATGATCTTTGAGCTTCAAAACTTTAGGTACTGCAAAAAAGCAACGATTTCCTGTTCCAGAATGACAATTCTGGCCTCAATCTCCTTGCGTAGTTCATTCTTGTCGGTAACGATTGTTCCAAGAAAACTGCCATAAAAGCCCTACAAACTGGGAGGTTATGACCGTTAATATTAATTTTATGTGGTACCATCTCTGGTGTTTTTTTGTGTGCTTTTCATGTATTCCATCTTCTTCTCATTGATCTTGAGACCTCTTCTATTTGCCTCTCGCTCCAACTCCTCCAACGCGCCGGCAGCGTTCTGGCTACCAGGTGGACATCATCAGAATAGGCCAATACCTGTGTGTACCTGTTGTATATGGTGGCTCCAGGATTGGTTGTTATGCCTTGTACTACTCCTTTCATGGAAAATTTAAAGAGAGTTGCTGGCAAAAGATCTCCTTGTCTAAGACCATTATTGGCTGAAAATTCCTGTCCCAGTGAGCCCTGTTATTTAATCCTGACATTTAGAACCGGTCATCGTCATACGAACCAGACGCACTAGCTTCTTGGGAACAACAAAACTTCGTTAATCGTACAGAAGGTTTACCCTATCAACGCCTGCTGGAAATCTATGAAAAGGTGATGGACAGTAACATCAAGTTCATGTGCGTTTTCCAACAGCCATCTCAGGACGAATATGCAGTCAGTTGTCGACCTTCCTTGCCTCAATCCGTTTTGGTAGTCACCAACAATCTTCTCCATGTACGTCTTCCACCTCTGACAAATCAAAGACGATAGCACTTTGTAGGCTACATTAAGTAGGGCTATTCCTCTATAATTCTCACACTGCAGTCTTTCTCCCTTTTTATGGATGAGGCATAAAAGAACTGTAGCCCAAGGTATCGGGATCTTTTCATTCACCCACACATCGAAAATTAGTTAATATGATTCGTCGAGAACTGTCCTTCCACCATACTTCAACAGTTCCACCGGTATACAGTTGACTCCTGAGGATTTATAATTCTTAATGCTGTGGAGCACTTCCGAAACCTCTTCCTTCTCAGGTAGTGTTTTCATCTTCATTTTCTAGGGTCCGATCCAGGTAAAGGTTCTGCCGTTTTCAGAGCTCTTATTTCTCTCTTTCGTGTTCTCTTCTTCTACTTTGCTAGAGACTGTAAACTTGTACTCAGGGATGGCCACCATTTGCAAGGTCGATGGCGCATGACTTCTCTCATCTCAAAAAGAACTGGAAAAATGAAATTTGATTGCTTTCCTCTTCTTAAAAACAGTGCATGCGAAACATAAATCAGTAAACCTGAATAATCATATACTGATTGTGATCTGGTCCATGTTTTGCCCATTGTTCCAGGTTCGAAAGTTGCTCCAAATTGAAATCACACAGAAATATGATTTCCTCCGAAAATTCATAACCCCGTTAAATATGAAATTATAAAATATGCACCCTTAAAAATTCAAAACCCCGTAAAACTCACACCATACTACCCTTTCTAGACATCCCTGCTTGTACTATTATATTGAGAAGTCAATTTATTCATTTTAAGATAAAGACTAAGCACTCACCAAGAATGACACCATCCAAGTCCATGATGACATGGCTTACAGGATGTGTGTCCCTGTCATGTAAGGCCTTAACCTGATCAAAACAATTTGTTTTTTTAACTTCATCCTTCTCTTTGTATCTTTCAGTTTGATCGCATATTTTACTGAAAACGAAGTTTTAGTGAATTATTGATTAATTACGGTTATATTAAGGATTATATTAGAATACTTGAAATTAAAAACAGTTTTCATAAATAAGATACCAACACAAATACCTTCGGATTTGAAGAGCAAAATATTGTGGGTAAGGTGCTGTTTTGAAAAGTAGTCGCGCCACGCTCGTGCTCATTGTGCCATTCAAATTTTAATGTTGATAATGTTTCATTAGTTTTACATGATTTGTTTCATGTTTAAAATTGTGTCTTGCTACTTGTACTTGTGTTAATTGATTATGCTTAAGTATTATTATAATTCACATGTTTCTGATATTTCACATGGTAACACTGTTAGTTTGAGTATATATTTTAAAAAAAATCTATCTTTTAACTTGCTTTTCTGAATTTATAAACAAGATTATTTTAATTTCAGATACATTATACCTCACTTTTACCAAAATATATTGTTTGAATTATCAATTGCAATTTCGTTGGTTGAAAATGGCAAATCACAATAATCAAACCCATTGTTCTACTGCATAAATTATTCAAATTGATTTTTGAATCTTCGAAGTTCAAAAAAGAAAGTAAATAATCCTAGGATGCTTTAATTTCGAAATTAACAAAAACAATGCTTAATAAACCGTTATTTTATTTACCATAAGTCATTATTAATCGCAATCTTCCTTGTTTGAGATTAAATGTAATGCAAATTCTATCTTGGATTGCATTCTCTGAACTTTTCAAAATATTGAGGTGATTTAATTCAGCCTAGATTTTGAACAGTTTAAAGAATAATAAGATATGTTTCCTTGGAAACAGCATGCGCAAAATACTTGCATTGAAATTGGTAAGAGTTTTTGCATGGATTTCTCGTTCTGATAGGAAATTTTATTTTAAAATTTGTCTGGTTGATGCAACTAATCTAGATATTTTGTCATATTGTTTGCGATCCTCTTCTGGGAAGTCTTGAAATTGATATAAACTTATGTATACATATATTTATGACGTAATTTCAGTCAATTTGAAAGAAAAAAACGCTGCAAATTATTTCACAATGGTTTATTATCTCCAAACAATTATACATCTAAAGTAACATTACCTTGCGAGTTACAAAAAAAAAAAAAAAAATGTGATTCCAATTATTGGACGAAACTGTTTTTCGTTAATCATTAGTAATATGCTAAAACAAAATAGCATTAAATCAGTAACACATTTAAAATTTAAAAACCAAACCAAGGATATATAATTTGGAGTAGAACACATAAAAAAAACCATATCTTTGCTCCTAATTACCCGATTTTAACAATTTTTTTTTTTTAGAAAATTCCGCGAACTTTTAGAAAACCCTATACAATATCAACAAAGCAGTGTAAACTTTTTGAGTTATTCGGAATTTAATTTTACCATCCAGCGTAACTTTTTTTCCAGCTTCTTTTCGTTGAAGTATGTTATATAGATAAATTTAAAGGGCGTCGAGAAAATGACTTTAGCGAAGTTTCATTGAAATCTGTACATTCGTTTAGGAGCTACAGTCTATAGCAACGCAGGTTTTTCGGCCGCCATTTTGAAAGTTAAAGGCGAAGACTAATGTCGATGAAGGAGGATCATCCTCGGGTAACCTCTGATTTAATATCAAAATTTGAAAAAAATCGGTCCAGTAGTTTCGGAGAAAATGCGCGGACGGCGGACGGACAAAAAATTTTTTATTCGTTTTTCGAATTCTACACGTCTTGAAACGTGAAACCTCAAATTTTGAGAAGGGGTTATGTTTTTGAATTTTTTGGTCGATCACAATGTTTCATTATTGAAAATAATAAACCAAAAAATATCTAACTATATATTACATTCATAGCTATGTATGTGTATATATGTAGCTACTTACCTATGCATAGATAAGTAGAAGTAAAGAATTAAAAAAAAAATACTTATTCAAACCATTCTGAGAATCTGCCAGATAAAGTTTTTCCCAAAACCTACATTATGAGATCTTATCAATCACTAATTAAACTTGCTGCTAATAACGTATTTAAAAGCTTGCAAGCTCCCAGAATATATTCGTATATTAAAATCGGGCATTTCAGAAGAATTAGATCCACCTTATTACTTATAGTTTTACTCACGGACGGATCTGGAGGCTTCGGGGCTGAAGCCCTCCCCCCAAAATGGTAAAATATAACCATATTTTATTTTATTTAACGGCTCAACAGGCGCCTGAAGGTGCCCTTGGCTCTCTCAACTGCCCTTCCCAATCCTTTTGGTCTGCAGCATGTCTGCTGGATACTCCCAAAATCATCAAATCCTCAGCCACAGAATCCTTCCACCTACGCTTCGGTCTTCCACGTGGTCTGACTCTATCCGGGGTTCCATAATATAATTTCCTCACGGCTCTACATTCATCCATTCTGATAATGTGTCTCAGCCATTTTAAGCGTTGAATTCGCACGAAATGAGAAACTCGGAGATTGTCGAATAAGTCGTAGATCTCTTTGTTCTTCCTTAAACGCCATGTACCATTCTCTACTTTTCTTTTAAAACTGTCAATCTTTTCAGCCAGGCTTTTGCATATGATCCAGGTTGCACCGGTCAGTGCAGGTCGGATAATTGTTTTGTATATAAAATATAACCATGTTTTATGAAAAGAAAATACTAAAAAATTATATCTTAAAGTATTATTGTTTGTGTAATTACATTTAAAAGGACTTTAGGAATCACTTAAAAACCATTTCACATAGGTAGTTATTCTTTTCTTTTTTACCAAAGTAATTATCGTTATTTTTATTAAAAAAAAAAGCTTTCGGGCTGAAGCTCCCCCCAAAATTAAATCCCTTAAGACTTCGTACCGACCATCTAATAAAATTATAAAATATATTATATAATGGGTAAAGGAAAATCTGTTCAGTTCCTTTTTCTCCTCTCTTTCACAACTGATATATATATATATATATATATATATATATATATATATATATTTATTTTTTTTTTTTTTTTTTCGGTTGGCACTACAGACCATGAAGATCTTTGGCCGCGAGATGTGGTCTCCTTACAGACGTGTGATACTTGCGAGAGCTCAGATAGCCTGGAGGGGGTCACCCAACTTCACGTTGCTACGAACCATGGTTTTCATGGTGCAGCGTCAGGCCACCCGTTGCTCCATAGCCGATTCCCTTTGGGGCCAATCTGGCAATGTCATTCCCACTGACTTTCTCGGGTTCAAGGACAGTGACACATCGGTCTAGATTGATGGATTATGGCTGCTCGGAGTCTGCAGGCGCACAAGGACCTATATTTCTTTCACCTAAACAGACCGTCCGTGGACCGAACCTCAGAGGGGCTATTAACATCCTGGTAAACCACATCCCGATTCCCTATTTAAGTACACGGGGGAGGGTCATCAGTCCTATGCCCGGTCGGTGTGAGTTACCTCCAGTTGTCTGACGGGCCTCACATACCCTCTCTCGGGTATATCTTTCGGGGAGACTCGGGCAGCAGGGCTTAGCCTGGTGGACGGTCACCCATCCAAGTACTAACCACGCTCGACATTTCTTAACTTTGATGATTACCTATTGCAAGCACCTTGGCCCGTACGACTACCCCAGCCCCATATTAAATATATATGGAATATAAATTTATTTTTTGTAATATTTTTTCATTGTGATTCGTCTTTCTCAAAAAATGTATAAACTTTTTTTTTTTTAATATTTTGTTTTTAGTGGTATTTCTCTTTGTATGAGACAGTTTCAATCGTGCCATTTCTGATTCTCAGTGTTTTTAATCTGTTTTAGAGAGTAGTGCAAATTCTTCCACCCGACCCATAATCTTTGTTCTTTTTTTATTTTTACAAAATAAACAAAACACTCAAATATCAAAACAGTGTAAACCATGAATTTTTTCTTTCATTCTTATTCAATGGAAACTGAGGTATATATTTCAGACTTTTCTGACTCCAAGTGGATAAAAAACGTAAATTATCACAAAAAGTTCAAAAATGGGCTCGAAGTCGCCCACATTGACGGTCTAATATTTATTTATGCGCTTGAGTATGAATTTAATAGACTAAAAGATTCAGAAAAGATATTAATTAGTTCAATTTTAGTTCAAATTTTGACTTAAAATGTTTTAAGGTAATAAATCGTTAACAAGTATTAATAAAATAACATTACCTGTATTAATTAATTCTCGGAGTTAAATCCCGATTCTCCATGCTGACTTCTTTCTTTGATTTTATTTAATCTATCTACAAGCATATTTTGAAAAAATATGATTGAAGTACGTAATTTTTTATCGATTTCTTGTACTTTTCTGTGGTATCATTTAATGATGATTATTTTCATAGCATCTTTCCCTCCAATAAACTGCAAAATTAATTTAATTCGCAATCGAAGATAAAAAAAAAAAAAAAAAAAAATACAAATATTAATAGCCTTCATCTTAAGGTATGAGGGAGGGCACATTACGATGAGGTTTTGAATTTTTGATGGGGAAGACATATTTCGTTCAAGTTCAAACCATCGATCAATTAAAAAAAACATTTACCCGACTGCAGCAAGTGTAATTGTATATGATCTACGATTTTTCTAATTCGACTTTGGCATGAACTGTATTTAAGAGAGAGTAATCAAATTTCTTGGAAGGAGAGGGTGAGAGGAGGGTTAGTTCACGCGTCATCGATCTTGGGGAAGAGAGAGGAGGGCAATCTTTCAAACTGAACAAAATTTGTTTTTTCACAGTATCTAAAAATGTTAATATGTTAATATTGGGGGTGGGGTGACCAAGCGAGCTAACGCGTGTGTAAAACTCGCGTTGCTCGGCAACAGGATAAACTAAAGTTACTGATAAAATAATTACAAGCGTGTCGGTACTGGGGAAAATTTTAGAACTCTAGTCATTAATCTCCTGCCCCCGGTGAAAAAAAAAAAACATAGACTAAAAAGCGAGAAAGGGGTCGATAAAAAAATATTATAATAAAAAATATATATATTGTTACTGTTAATAACTGTACATAACATTAAAAAGGTACTAAGGAAGGCAAATTAATAGCGAAACTTAAGGGTGGAGCTTAAGCCACGATGTCCCAACAGTGGTTTTTCAAACATATAATCTTTATTTTATTTTTTATTTATTTTTTTACTATCACGATATTTTTTTACATACCAACAATAACGTGCACTAATTCGTAAGTTTATTGATATTTGAATAGGTTATGCGCAAAGTTAAGGTTACACTGATTTTATTTTAATGACAGATGGGAGCGTTTCTGGTAATTAATTACCTCTTTAATAACTATTATATAACTAAAATTCTTAGTCAATATAAATTGACTAAGTTTTGTCAAGATTGTATTGGCTGAGGGGCGGAGTGACCGAGCGGACTGCCCGGCAGCATTAAAACCCCAGCCCTCACCCCTTGACCCGAGAAAACCTCTTTATAGCCTTAAAGGCGAGGTAGGGAAGAACAAAAAAAAAAAAAAAAAAAAAAATGATGGTATTGGCTTACTTCTATCTTCCACCTCCGACTTCGAATATTTACGATTCGTTTTGATTTCCGCTTCATTCTGATTGTTATCTTCCAAGTTTTGACATCAAAATCTGTTATATCATGGCAGACATGAATAGAAACAATCATGGCGTAATATAATATTATTGGCACATCTCGTCATATGTTCCATTATAATCAATTAATCATTTGTTCGTTGTTCATAATCAATTGAATATCCATAACAACAAACTGATTACTTAATATTAAAAATTCTAATTCAAAATATTTCACTATCACAATATTTTTCCTGAGCATTTCCAAGCCATATTCAACTTTTACCAAGTCATGTTTAATTTTTCCCAAGTCATGTTAGTTTTTTCCATTTCAAATTTAAATATTTCCTTCAAACTTTAAATAAATACTTTAAGAGATAGTTTTTTATATTTTATTTTCTGTAAAACAAAAGCCTCCCCATAGATCCACCTGTGATGCTGGCGAATCAATGGCGCTCGTTAAAGAGGATGGGGCTTCAATTTTCAACTTTCAATCTTTTGAAGTAAAAAAAACCTGGGGAACATGTTCCATTGTTACTGCCATTTTCACCATGTCACACCAAGTTTAATTGTATATGATCAATAATTTTTCTAATTCTACTTTTGCTTGTACTGTTTTTAAAAACAGTAGAGCAATAAATTTAATGGGAGAGGGGAGGTACATTTATGTGCTATCGACCTTTGGGGAAGGGGTAGAGATGAGCTCCACTGTATTAATTAATTCTCAACAAAACACCTAAAAAAATCATTACAATATATAAGTGTGTCTCTGTATGTATGAATATTTATATGTTTATAAGTAATAAATAATATAATTTTCCTGTGAGCTGTATATTTCATGTTATTCTTCTGCGTAGACGTACCCATACAAGGTGAGGCTGTCCTCTTTCAACATGGTAAAAAATTGAAACAAATTAGCAATAAATAAACAAATTTCAGATAAACTAATTAACTGCAGCAGGATCATCCTGTATAAATATTTTCACTTTCTTTGATGAAATGATTGTAATAAGGATTATTCTGAAATAAACATGAATTTACATATTAAATTAACATTTTTCTTATCACCTTTTAATTATTAAAACATTCAAATCAAAGAAATTGGGATCAAATTCATACAATAAAACTTTAATTATCGTTTTTTTTTTTCAAACTTTATTCAAAACAAAATACACTGTTTTCGAGTAAACAAACATAATTTAGCTAAAATACCTCTAGCTTTGTTACTCAAAAGCAATATAGACATGATAAATAAACTAAACTTACCAAAAATAAATAATACTCTCTTAACTTAAGTAACTTCTTAGTTTTACAAAATATCATAAATTTTGTTACTAATCATTACAGACATACTCAATGTCTCCTATAAACAACTCCATAAAGTTGAAAAATAGATATTAACATTTTTATTTATATACACTTTATATAGTTTTAAGCACTACAGTGCTAATGGTACAATGCTGTAAGAATTAGAATTATTATACCTTTTATTAAGGAACAAATTGCTGTATCTGAATGACTACATGATTGATGCTTTTTTATATTTTTGTCAGCACCAAAAAACTACTATTACAAGAAACCATGGCCAGCGACTACAGCTGGAATAAAACCTTCCTTTCCATCCCTAGTTCTGACCCAAAACCAATCCCTGAGATGAGAACTGATAAGTGTCACAACATCGCCTTTGTTGACACTAAGTGTGTTTCTTCCTTTTCCAATATAATCTGCTGCGACAACAATCAGAACTTGACGTTTGGCTTTAGCTTGTGCTGCTAGGTAGAGAGAATCCACACTTTCTTCCCCACAGCCCCTTCTTTTGTACCTATAAATATTTAATAATTAATGCAATACAACCATTTATAGAAATCTAAAATTTATAGTTTAGTAAAAATACATATGATTATGATATTGTATTTATAAAAAAGGGAATCGGTCCAGAAAGACTTTCCAATTTACCAATTTAACAAACAATGTAATATTTTTAAAGTTACAAAAATTTCAAAAAATAACTCTGAAAAGTGGTAGTAAGTTAAAAAAATAGATGGTATTTAAGAATTAAAAATATCCATCATGAGTATGAAATTTAATTGTGAAAGTGATATTAAAGTGCCCAAAATTTTGTAAAATAGACTTGACTTCAGCGAGAATGCCAGTAATACCATGACAAACTATGAGAGATTCAAGTTAAACGAAACAGAAAAATTTACTTAATACAAAATAAAAAAAGAATGATATGTAAGTATGTATAAGTAATTGGCAGTACTTGTTTATTTTATACATTGATAAAAATAAATATTAAATGATTATAAATTTCAATTTTATGGTACTAATGAAACTTAGTCACTTCTTGAAGTAAGGCAAATGTATTTGACAACTTGTGATTTATTTTATAACTATCAGAATGTGATGTATTTTCCAGAAATTACACATTTCAATATATTTTAACACTTTGAAAAAATACTTTACATTACGAATACTAGATAATATAAAAAAACCTGTACTTCTACAACCCATGAAGGTTCTTGGGTTCACTATTATTTAGGTAAAGCACTGTTTAAATGCCAACGATTGTGCAGGTAGGAGATCAGAACAGGGTCAGGCTTAACTGCCAGATTTTTTCTCTTGATCAATAATTAATTAAGGGTACCCAGTTTGTAGAGGTTGGGTGTGCCCCAGGAGGTATGGAGACCCACGGCCAATGAAACCGAATTAATAATTTTCTGCTATGAGCCAGGATTCGAATCTGGGACCTTGAGTACTGAAAGCTTAGTGTCCTAACACTGAGTTATCCTGCTCTGTAGATAATTTATAAAATTATTTAAATAATTTTATATTAACAACTTTCTTACTGATATATGTGATATTTACTTTGAAAATTTTACCAGTAACTGTACCATATTGCATTACGCAAGGCATTTATAAAAATATAGATTAATATATCTTAGGAATGAAAAATTATTTTAAAACAATGTTTGGAAGAAAAAGCATACCTTTGACCAGACCTGCTTCCACATTCAGATCTAGTACCAATCTTTTCTTCTATTCTATTCCCCGTAGGCTTGGGGAATATGTCCGACTGCGATTCCCATGGCGCAGAAGACTCAGGAGGAAGAATTCCTAGGGGTAAGCAAGAAGCATAACGTACGTATCCCTCTTCGCCATGTGGTGTTTGAACATAAAGCCATGCCTGATTCTTAAAAACTGCATTTACAACCATTCCTAGAGGAAGTGATACCTCTTCTTGGTACCCTCCTGCTTGGGTTTGATAAAGGAGGCATGGAGTCGACAAAACAACTGGTATGTTGCCAGGTGTTTCAATAGAGGCCTGAAATCATAAAAGATTACAGAGTAATAATATTTAAGTTTAATAAATGTTATTTGAAGGGCAGAGCTGTGAATATTTATTTTTTTGTTTTCACTAACCTAACTCCAAAAAATAAAATAAAATAATACTCATGAATGGCAAGACTACCAATGGTGAGACTATGTGCAGTTATATATATTTTTTTTTTACTGGAACTAATGCTGTACAGGAATAACAGGTAGACGTTTATCAAGTTGACAGTTTCTTTAGAAAAAAAAAATCTTGGAATCATGCTGGCAAGGTTTTCTTTTAAAAAAAAGTAACAGCTAGAGAAGAAAAATAGAAATCATAAAAAAAATATCAGGGCTAGTTTTTCATGCCTAGCGATCGCACCGTTTTGGTCTTCCCATAATTTCTAACGTACTAGGAAGACAAGAAACGTAAATTATTATTTCCCATACGGAGACTTCTCTCGTCAATTACTGTACTCTAAGATCCTTTATTCGGAAAATGTACCTCACGAATGCTTTTACTACCAAACGATTTATTCCTTTTATACGTTTGTTCACTTCTTGGAAACAGTCGATTAATTAAATCGATAAAAACGATAAAGTTCATAGTTCACATGCAGTAGCATCATGATCTACAATGAAATTGTTTCATAGACATGTAACAGTTTCATCATAGATAGTTCACATATTAAGTATAACTTATTTATATACTTATTATAATAATTATTAAGTATCTACAAATAGTTACAAGGTAAGCATCATACATATAAATCGTATTGGCTACACTGACTTTCTTATTTAGTAATTATATGGAATAATGTATAGAAACAATAACATTTTAAATTTAATTTTTATTTGTTAAATCGGCCTCTGTGAACTAGCTGTGGCATCCAAACGTTTTTGCGTAATATTTGTTAATCTAGCTCTAGAATTCATTAATATTTAATTATTTATGTTAAGAAAATTTGAAAATTGGACGAATATGGTTGTGTATATTTAGTGATGGTTGTGTATAAAAATAGCAACAGTGTGTTATAAAAATTGTTGGCTGCCTCCATTACCAATACCCAACCTTACTCAGGACTCTAAAAAGGTTCCCATAGGTGGATTAGTAGATTCAATCTAAAATTATATTTTATTAATAACAATATCCCAACACAGAAATTATCAAAAGCCAGTGATATATCCGATATTGTTAATATCATCTTATATTCGTACAATTTTTTTTTTTATATTATAGTTTGATTCTTTACGTATTTCAGGACCAATCTTATCTTTACCATCACTTATTATTAATGAGTTACTTTCGGATTCGCTTTTTTTTTCATTTCAGGTGCAGTTTAATACATTTTGTCTATAATTAATGAAATTAATTTAAAATAGTAGTGGAGATGAACAAGCAACATTAAAATATATTTTGTGTAAAACTTGAATTGAATGAAATTCCGGGTAAAGAATTTCAACTTCGTTGGTTCCATATTTCAATAATATTATTAGATGACGCCACCAAAGTTACAATGACCCCCCCTACAATATCTTCCTATCTATATCAACGTTTTAGTGATTTGTAGATCTGGAATACATTAATCTTAGTAATATAACAATTAACACTAATTTACCTGCATTATGATCAGTTTAAATAAAGCAAATTAGTCTTTGATTGTAACTAATTAAACATTTCGGGGAATCTTCGTTGCTATTCAGATAATATAGTTTTTAAGTTCAGGAATGAACCATTCACTATCAACTAAAAATATATAACTCCTAAAAACAATGTTTTCTAAATAAATATAAATATTTTTTTATATAAAAATTGTTTTAAAAAAAACATAATTAACTTACATTTTATCTCCCCCCCCTCCCCCCAAGAAATTTGGTAAGTCAGAATAATTTAATATAATAAGATTTGTTCAATGGTTAATATCTAACTAAAAGGATTATAGTACAATTAGGATTATAGGTAGAGAGAAGGAGTTAAGGTATTAAATAGATTATTTTATAGTTTGATTTCAAGTATCATGAATAAATCTTAAATCTACTTTTATATTTCTTAGAGTGCTACCAATGGGTAGTTTCTCAACATGTGATTTCATGCTATTTTATTCCTTTGTTCACATTTACTAAATGTATTTTTACTTGTAATACAGTTGTAAATATCATCAATAAAAGAAAAAAAAAAAACTTTTATATTTATTTTTTGTCTGTAACAATCTGCTATATTAAAAAAAATAGTCTGCCTCCAGATTTCATATGCATCAAGTCGAACATCGGTGATTTTTCATTACGAAATAGTCAGCTAAATAAGAGAAATTTTCCCCCAAAAAACAATTTCCACAAAGTATAATAGAAGAAATCCATCCTGAATCCAGCACAATTCCAGCAAGGCCGAAGAGGACCGATTTCAGGAAGACCAATCAATAACCAAGGCGATGTTGGAAACTATGGACTCTGACTGAAAATAATAAAGAAAGCCATAAAGCTGTGGTTTTAGTGAAATTTTGCGGAAAAAAAAAATTAACTGTATGAGTTCTTGAAGGGATGGCAGATGGCAATCTCATATTGTCTGTAGGCGAGGTAGTCAATAAATAAATTTCTGTTCGTACTGTATGTCCTAGGTAGAGTGATGGTAATATATTTAAGTTACCTTTGTGAGGAAGGCATCGAGGTCTGTTATCTGGTAGCCGAACCTCTGGTGCTTGGGTGTCCTGCTCCTCCTATGTCCCTTCCTGCACCTCCTGGTCTCTCCAGCCCAGCTGTCATCCCGAACCCCGCGAGGAACGCTAGGCTCGCACTTCACCGGGCTGTCTACCCTATAACAAAACGTAACTCAAGTCAAAGAGGAAGCCTTTTACAGCAATAATGAAACCAAAATAGAAGGCTATATTCGATCTCGCAGTATTTTTAGTTATGTTTTAAGGTTGTGTTACATTTTGGGAGTGGGGTGGCCGAGCGATCTAAGGCGTGTGCAGAGCACCTGCCTGGCAACATGATAACGGAAGTTTTGAGGTAAACAAATAATTACGAGTTTCGTGAGCGGGGTGCCCGATAGGGCTAACGTGTGTGCACAGAACCGCCGTTGCAACTTGATCTATGAGACATTGGGTATAAAATGGTCACGAGTTCGCATCCCGGTACCGGGGGAGTCTTCTGAATCCCCGTCCACACCTCCTGGCTGGCCCGGGAAAACCTCGTTAGCCTTAAAGGCGAGGAAGGAAAGGACCAACAAAAAAATTAATAAACCAGAAAATAATTACGAGTTCAAATCCCGGTGCCCAGTGGGACTTTTAACACGGCATAATTCCCAGCACTCTCCCTCGGCCTGGAAAAACCCCGTATAGCCTAAAAGGCGGAACCAAAAAAATAGATTATGTTAAATTGAGAAGAGAGCTGCCTCAACTTCAGTAATGTAAAGAATTTGTGAACGCGTGGAAATTTTTCGTGGGTCCAGCACGCTTCCTCAACTTAAGCCTTAGAGGCCCAGATCCTGGAAGACCACCGGACGACATATGTTAGAAACTAAGAATGTTGAATCAACTATAAAGAGTTATAGTAGGGTGTTATAGAGTTAATATAAGTTAATAAGATATTATAAGTTGATAGTGTTAATAAGATTTACTGCATTGCTTATAATAAGGATGGTATATGTATGACATATTACCCCTGAGAAATCTATATGCTTAAAAAAGTTTGTGATAAATATGGTGGTCAGTCAGGCTGTAACAGAAATAATGGAATTAAGCATAATTAGCTCACCGCTGCTTGGCTTGATCAGTTTTTAAGACCCAAGTTAGTGAGACCTTGGGCTTGGAGAGAGAGGATGGTCGAATACCCATCAGCCACTTCAACCCATTCCTCATTTAGGGATACCCAGCTCTGAAACATAAATACAAGTATTTTATAATAATCATCACGCTAAATCATAAGAATAATTTTCTAATTCTTAAATTAGCGAAAAATATATGAATAATTATTAAAGATCATAATTAATTACTGTGCATTTGGAAGGTAATTAAAGCAGTAAAATATGAAATGGGTATAATTTGTTTCTATCAATTACGTTCTTAATTATTTAATAGTTTCAATTATTTTATTTTATAGCCAGTAAAAGTATAAATGAGGCAACCGGTTTTTTAATAGATGAAAATAAAATTTCATCGATAAATGTTTCACAACTTCCTTCTGAAGGTGTTTCAGACTTTATACTATTCTTGTTACATTTTACATAGTGTTGCATTGAGGAAGTTAATCGTACAAGTACTCAATCCTTTTAATTTAAAAATTCTTAAGAAATCTTGATTTAATTGTTGATTTTTTTTTATTGCTTTTATGTAAAAACTTTTATCTAAGGAGTTAACATCTAAATATGAGAAGGGAAAAATCGCCATTTAAGCTAGGTCAAACTATTTCAATGATAATAATACGTATTTATTTTCTATAAAAGTAAGTGATAGTAATCAATGAACTCTATTTATACAAGATATCATTAGTAAAATCAAAATGTTATGTTAATTTTTTGTTAATTATCAGGCTTACGTATTAGTCCATGGTACAGACCCCTTTTTATCAAATAATTAACATCCACCTAAAAATTCGTGAATAACTTCATCTCATCGTAACCTAGAAATATTTTATTTACGAAAGCTCTTGGAATTGGGGCGTTTTCAATCTGGAGATCGGCAAACTATGTCTATTTATAAGGTACTTAAAAATCGTAAATACCCATTTGTTTTCCACTTGGATCGTAAGATAATTTGATCACAAAATCGAGAAAAAAGGTGGACTACTAAAATATTGGGTCATTTAGCCTATATAAATAACCTCGTTATTTGGATATTTAGAGGATGTAGGTCACTCCAAACGGCTCAATATTTTTAAAGGCCACCTTTTTTCTCGATTTTGGAAAGTAAATGGGTATTTATGGGTTTTTAGTACCTAGTTAAATAGACGAAGTTTGCCGAACACCAGATTGAAGACACAACAAATCCGAGAATTTTACGAAGTTTCAGGCGGATATTAATAATTTGAGAAAAATGGATCTTTAGCACGGACTGTATTACTAAATCAACCAATTTAATTTTTGTACATTTATTTATTTATTTAATATTACTAAAATCATCAAATTGATTATCAAATAAACTATTCAGGTTATCATTTTTATCAAATTTTATTTGCGTATAAATACTTTCTAATCTTCGTTGCATTTTCAAGATGCAAGATTTCTATTGCGTGTATCGTTTCTCTAAAATCAGTTGGTGAATGCAGGCTTACAAATGACTGAAAATAGAAGATTCTGATCTAGCTTCGTGACTCAACATCAAAATCTACTTCGCAATACTTCTTTCGGTAACTCTAAAGGGCAAATATTTTATACTGACCTAAGGTTACGTCACTGGAATACTGAACTTTTCTCCAAAACATTACTCAATGACCACGATTTTTATTAACTTTCAAAATTAATATATTTATCACAATTTTTCCCCTAAACTGGATAAATATGTAATTATATTTTGATGATTAAGTAGTATATATGTACATGTATATTGTTATTTATTTAATCTACAAGATTATTGCCATGCATCGTGAATACTGATACGTAAATTACGAGTAAAATATATTTTATAAACTTTCACAAATAAAAATATGAGAAGAGTAAGTCAAGTGCAGAAAAATTTTAATAATTGCCGATACAGATATACTCGAGGTATCGGTATCTGCTAGGTCTCGCCGCTCACATATAGTTTTTGACTAATAATCCCCTTAGAGAATAAAAAAGATAAGACCTGGCCTATTTAAAGGATCATAAGAAAGCCGAAGCATTCCGAAATTTTACCGAAAAGTTGAAGGGGTAATCTCGCCCTACAACAAATATTCAACCAAGAGAAAAGCCCGGAAAAGAAGAGGAGAAGAAATTAAAATGAAAACAATCCTGCAAGGCAAAATGACAGTCTGAGAGGAACAGTCGCTAAGAAGACAGGAGACTCTGGAGGATATCAGCGGCACCAGGAACACGAAGAAAACAGTAGCTGAAGACTCCAGCATGTAACCAGTTAATTGGTAATATCCATTTAAATTTAGTTTGGGAAGTCTGCGTTGGCAATCTATAAAATAATAGTCACGTAATATGTCAGTCATCCGTAAAGGACCAAGGAAAATCAGCCTCGAGGACTCAACAAACCCGGAAATTATAATAAAATAATTGAACTCCTTTTGGAAATAATTTTTATCTCACGGCAAACTCTGTCATTTTAATCATATCAACGAAACTGCCCGGGTATATATAATTATAAATGGACATGCATTAGAAGGATGATTTTTTTTAAATTTATACAAATGTAGTAAAGATACACGGTAGGTAATTTATTTAATGTAAAGCTAATATGCACTAATTTAAATTATAGCAGTGTTTCAACTGGCTCCCGCAGTGCTACATCCTACGCCCTGATGAAGACCTGCAAAGTGGGTCGAAACGTCGGCAAAAATTAAACAATACTATTTATATAATTTAGTATTTATTTAACACCCTCCGATTAACTCCTTCTTATAATTTAAATTATTATATACCCTGAAGGGTATTATATTTATAACGACATACATAAAATTACCAAATGAGTTTTTTTTTTTTTTTAATTTATATAAATGTAGTGAAGATACACGTTAGATAATTTATTTACTTTAAAGCTAATATGCACTAATTTAAATTATAGTATACTCTGAATGGTATTATATTTATAACGACATACATAAAATTACCAAATGAATTTTTTTCTCTTGACTAATTATATTTTTTACAGTTATACTTCAACATGGCCCATGGAGTCGAATGATCGAAAATAATTAAAGTATATTAAAGTAAACAAAGTTTTGGTGTCTTTTGGCCAAAAATCATTTCAATAATAAAGAATAAATATGATCAATTTTTTAAATACTATTAAGTAGTACAGTGATTTGTTTTTGTAGGTCGTCATTTTTTTGACAACTTCTCCGAATTGATATGGTGTTAAATTTCTCCCTGAATCCTAAAGCGTTAACATTGAAGAGAAATAGTGATTTTCTAGACCAGGTTATGGTATGGCGAAAAGATGGACGATAGGATGACGGTGCGGCGGTAAAAGTGTAGCATAAGGAACTAGAACGCGACAGTTACCCGGCGGTAGAAAAGGAGAGCTCGGGAGTGCTTGCAAACGGGGCGCTCACGAGGAAGCAATTTGCCGCATGACGCAGTGCCTCGGCTTGCACAAACCTCACCAAATGACTGACGGGCTGGCCGCGGCGGTACTGGTACTCACGATCCGTCATTGCGGCGGCAATACCGCCCTCTTCCAACTCTTCGTATATAAGCCAATGAGTGTATACTAATGGCCCATTTAAGCAGATTCTATAAAATTGTCAAATTACTATTATTTTTATTTCTTTTATGCTTATGTAATACCAATTGTTCTTCCCGAAAGGGTGGGGTTGTAAGACTCATGATACCAGGACTCTGAAAGTTCTCATTGAAAACAGTAGGATTTTATAATTAATGTTTTATAGGTTTTCATTTTATCTTACTTTAATTTACTTCAGCAATAAATAAAATACAACTAGGAAATGTGAAAAACTCTAGAATAATGACACGATTAGACTTGTTGAGATACCATCCCATTGGCAGCACTCTCTAAATAGTTCTAAGTTAGAAGATACAGAGGCCATCTTCTTTTCAGAAGTGTGGGAGGATTATCAAGAATCGAGGAAGAAGCAAGGTTGCAAAAAAAATGGATTCGGGTGGGTTTAGAGTTTATCATAAAAGGATAGATAACTGGATCGAGCCAAATCAACGACATATGGATACATTAAGACCTTGTATGTTTATTTCGATGTCTAGGCGCAAAACATCAGCGCCCGATCAACTAAGTAACACTACTTCTATGCTATTCAGGTGGTTGATACAAAAAAAAAAGAAATAAAAAAGGATAAAAACTAATAGTATAAAATAAATAAATAATAATGATAATAGACCCTTATAAATAATTAGATAGAATAGATAAATAAATAAACTAAAAATAAAATCAATAAATGAATTGAAATTAATAAATAAATGAACTTTTAAAATTAAAAAAATAATAATAAATAAATCTGCAAAGGATCACTACTTATAAACTGGTCATATATGTTTTATAATTTTTTCATTGTCTAGGAACTTAATAACTTTCGTAAGGATTTCTTCTTGATTTCCCAGGGATGTTGATATATTCCGGGGTATTCCGAGATCTTTTTACCTTGCGGTGTAAAAAGGGCACTCTTCCAAAACATGTTTTACAGTTAATGACTGGTCACACTTTTGACATCTGAAAATAAGATCTTTAGTTATGAGGTGGAGGTGTGCCAGTCTAGTATGTCCGATCCTCAGCCGCGTGAGGACGACCTCTTCTCCACGACTGCTGCGTCTGGAGCTGGTCCACGGTTACACCTCTTTCTTTATTGTCTTTAATTTGCTAGGTGCGCTGTTGTCCCAACGTATTTGTCGTTCTTGGGATATGGTTTATCTTATAGGACGTGCAAGTTGAGATGTTGTCAAAAAAGCTTTAACGCTGCCTGGAAGGGTAAGGTCTTTATTAATGATTTATTTGGGACAAACTATGGTGCATTTTGGATGAGGATTTTGGTGTATCGCTGCTGTTTTGGTGGAGCCCCAAAGCTTAACTCCCAAGTCCGTGTAGGCCTTATGTTATTTTCGTAAATGAGCGGTTTGTAATTAATAGAAAGCTTAGAGCGTTGGGGTCTAGTAAATGTTGAAGGAGCCTGAAGCGTCGAGCAGTTTTTAGTCGTTTCAATCTCTTATGAGGATTCCAAATAAGATATTTGTCCAAGTAGAATTGTTGGTAGCGAATCGGTTC